GTGGTGATTCAGCAAGCAATACCGAGCGGTGTGCAGGCGCTTTGCAATGCACTCCGGGACGCTTTTGGTCTGAGCGATCAGGAGTTGGTCAGCAAGGCCATCGAGGACTTCTTTGAGTTCAAGCGAGGTAAGCTCAGCCTGGCGGAGTACAGCATCGAATGGGATGCCCGACTGGAGGAAGCAACGACGAGAGCAGGGCTGGAGCTGAACGATGTCGGCAAGTTCTACCTGTTCTTCCGGAACTCCGGGCTTCCGACTAAGTTCCTGGACGACGTGAAATTACAACTACAAGGAGACCTTCGACGGTTCCAGGAGGCGCGGGCACTAGCGTTGCGACTGGTCACCCGCAAGGACGACCTCGGCGAGCTCTACTACCAGGACGAAGAGAACGTTGTGGACTATGACCAGTCCTGGGATGATTTCTACTGGGCTGACGATGGCTGGTCCTGGGTAGAGCCCGCGGCTATGTCGGAGTACTGGCTTGATGGGCCAGACTACTGGGACTATGAAGGCGAGTCCTGGAACGAGTCGGATGAGGCCTGGACGGACGCAGACTACGAGGGCTACTATGACGAGCATCCGGACTATCACAACGAGGCCACAGCCGACGATGCCAGCAACGCCGATGACTCATCGTTGTCACCCAAGGCAAGCGAGAACTACCCGATGAAAGGTGGCAAGGGCGTCGGCTGCTCGGTCTGCGGTTCTCGCTGGCATTCATCGTCATCTTGTCCCGTTGGTGGAGCGAAAGGAAAAGGCGGCTACCGTGGATCAGGAAAAGGCTACGGCAAAGGCTACGGCAAGGGCAAGAAGGGCAGCTCCAAGTCCAAAGGCAAAGGCAAGGGAAAATGGCAGCCAAGAAAAGGAAAGGGCAAGTCGAAAGGCTACTACGGATACAGTACGAAGACTCTGACTCAGAGCTTCACTGCCAGTCGCCCTTCCTGGACTCCGGAGCGACCCAAGACCGTCCACTTCCGCCTGGACCACGACGAGAGGGACACGATCATCAACCTCCGGAACACCAAGGACGACCACGAGAAGGCAGACAGGTCCGAGTCGGCCACGGGCAGCCACGAAGCAACCGCCAAAAGATTGGACTTCACCTTCGCGACCAGCATCTACAATGCCACCACCACGTACCACACTGTGCGCGGTGAGAAACGGAGGGGCTTGCTGGTGGATCCTGGAGCAGCTTCGGGTTTGATCGGAAGTGAAACCCTCCGGGATTTGATGGACAGCTGCTTGGATCAGGCCCACCGTGATGAGGTGAAGTGGTGTCACGACAAGACGAACAACGTCAGTGGCATCTCCGGAACCCCGGAAGCCACTCTGGGGGAAGTGCATCTGCCCTTACGTATGTCAGGCGTGGCTGGCACCTTCTCAGCAGATGTTCTTGGAGGTGAAGGTTCATTGTGCCCGGCTTTGCTGTCTAACCCAGCTTTGCGGAAGCAGCGAGCGGTGGTTTGGTGCGACTACTTCGCCAACGGAGATGGAGTGATGATCGTGCCGGTCATAGGCACCAAGGACGATGGCACACAACACTCAGCTGGATGGCACTACATGAGACTGCTCCTCACGGATTCCGGACATTATCTACTACCAGTCGATGATCAGAGAAAGGTTTCGCAACATTCCAGGAAGGACATCGAGCACCACCTGTTCACCTGGACATCGGAGATAGAGCAGAGATGGAGTGATGTTCGCCACTGCTTCTTGACGAAGAGAGGCGAACACAACAGTCGGGAACGTGAGCGGTGTGAAGTCAGTGCAGGAACTCAGCAAGGCAACACAGCAGACTCGAATCCATTGGAGACTACCTCATCTACTACCTCTGCGGCTGCTTCGCCAGCCTCCACCTCTACGGTGAGATCGGGAACATCGATTACGGCGAGATCGGAGTCACTCCTCACCTCCAGCGACTTCGAGAAGGACTCAGTTGGTGATAGTAGTTTTACGTCAGCAGGCTCGAATCCGAAGACTACCTCCTCTACTACCTCTGGCGTTTTATACGATGTTGCTGCACCGCAGTCTGGTCCTTTTATGTCGAGTGTTGCTGCACCGCAGTCTGGTCCCAAGATCGCAGGAGTCAGTGGCGACATTTCTTCCACTGCACTACCTAGCAAGCCGTTTCTGGATGGCCCACCTATGACGCCTGAGAACCTGCCGGAGATCGACAGTTGGTCACTTGAGGGTGACTACCTAGTGCGCCGCCGCAAGGTCCCTCGTCGGATTCTGTTTACACCGCGGTGCGCTTTGGATTGCCCTGTGGATCATGCTGTGATCCAAGCAGAGCGCACCACTTACATGTCGAAAATTCCCAGGCGACTTGGTGAGGCTGTTCTGCGGGACGACTGGGAGACCGCAAACACTCCCAATAAGGACATGGAGCAGCTGTGGATCGGACGCACTGTTTTCAAGGTGCGGAAGGCTAAGGAGAAGGCAGCAGCGTCACCAACGACTACAGCCAGCGACCTGTCTTTGGATCCGAAGGACTTTCCTCACTACGACGGTGACATGTTTCCGGATCATTGGAGCGAGGACAAGAAGCTCAAGATGCATGAGAAGTACAAGGCCATTCCTGAAGAGTTCTATACGAAGTCTGGCAGGAAGCCGATCACGCCAAGGAATGTGAAACCTTGGCTGAAAGCAGCTGCTGGCAGGGGCTTGCGATGGCAGTTCTGGGAACTATGCTCTGGAAGTGGCCGCCTGAGCTTGATTCTGATGACGGCCTCCATGATGACTGGCTTTCCCGTGGACTACAGATACGGCTGGGACATGTCATGGCCGGAACATCAACAGTTGCTACGACAGTGCTATCAAGAGTTCATTCCGGCCCATGTCTTCGCGGCCCCCACATGCACTCCATGGACGACCGCATCATCGTCCAAGGACCGGGAGATTCGGATGCAGGAAAGACAACATGAACTACCAACACTCGAGTTCCTATACGAGGTCATGTTGCAACAGCACAATGGAAATTTGGGTTTTAGTCTTGAGCAGCCCTATGCCTCGGCAATGCTCATCGACAGCCCGATCTCTCGGCTCAGAGACATTGTGGGTGTGCGCGCATGGCGCACCGATCAGTGCATGCTTGGAGCTCGCGACGAAAAGAATGCTCCCGTTCGGAAGTCCACGGCCATCCTCAGCAACCGTCGGTGGCAACAAGTGATCAAACGTTGTGACAACCACCGAGGTCAGCCACATGGAGTTCTACAAGGTCAAGTCAGAGGAATCAATCGCACGGCCATGGCAGCAGTGTATCCCAAGCGGTTGTGTCAGCTGTATGGTCAGGACCTATGGAGAATTCTGCGAAAGGACGTGGTGATGTCCTGCAAGCCTTGGCCACATCAGCTAGTGTGGACACACTCCATGTACTACTCCTGCGAGCGATGTCAACTCGGACGATCAGCCCCTCCAGGCGTCGAACACAACCTGATTCCGGGACAGTGCCGTTATGGACAGCCTGGCATGCGGCGAACACGAGCGCCGCGGACTGCTCCACCGGAGCCACCACCTGAGGTACCACCAGCGCCAGAAGAGCCAACGGCTCCTGTTACTACGACTACGCCAACCGCGGAAGGCTCCACGGCACTCAAGAAAACAGACCTGGAAGACGCCACGGGGCCCTTCAAGTTTCTTGCTCGCAACGGCGACTACACTCGTGTGGCCTTGGACTGTGATCGGAGTCTGCCACTCACTATGGAGCAGCGGTTGTTCCTCAAGGCAGCGCTCCTTCAAATGCTTCGCACGTGCATCGACATCTTCAACAAGAACACCTCCGTCGACTATGACCACTGGCTGGAGGACCCGATTTTGCTGCAAGTATTCCAGGAGATCTTCCAGCAGCACTTCTCGGTCCTCGGAGTGATGTGCTCACTCCGGCCCTGGCGACGCAAGGTTCCAGACCCTTATCTCAGCTCGGCATGTGCCCCTTTGCGGTTGCTCGTCAGTGGCAACATGCAGAAGTGGCACGTTCATGCCATTGAAGACATGCGTCTCATGAGCCACAGCCAATTGCACGCGGCCGTCGACGAGGCGGATTGGCACTTTCACTTTTTTGGTGTCAAGGAGGGCGACTCTGGTGCCGATCTCCTTCGTCCAGATCTTGGAGATCCTGATGGCCCGCGCGGTTCTTCTTCCCGGGCTGGCAGGCCAGCGGCTCCGTACCCATCGGATCCGTCCGAAAGAAAGAATGATGGGAGGAGTGTTGCTGCCACTGACCCGGAACTTCATGCACCACCACCGGAAGCGGAAGCAGATGGCAGCGAACCGGCACCGGCAGGTTCAGGTGCAGCAATGGATGAGGAAGAATTTGAGGCGGTTCGGCCGGAAGCCGACGGTGAAGAAGGAGATAAAGTACTGAAGCCGCTGTTCGATTTCAAGAAGGTCTTCAAGAGATTGCAGAGTGGGATCATAGAAACAGACCCCACTACAGCAAAGCGGCTACTGCTAGGTCTCCACGAGCGGTTCTATCACGCGCCCATCGGCGACTTCAAGAACATGCTTCTGAGAGCCGGCCTGACCTCGGATGTCCTGCCCTTGGCTGAGGAAGCTGTGATGTCGTGTTCGATCTGCCGGAAGTATGTTCGACTTCCCAACCGGCCACAAGTGCAGATAGGAGCTGGCGCTGGTATCTTCAATGCCAGAGTACAGATAGACCTCTTCCAGTATCGTGAAGTGTGGATATTGCTGATCATTGATGAGGCCACTCGGTACAAGGCAGCAACGTCCGTGGTCTCCAAGGACTTCCAGGAAGTGACCCGCAAGATGATGGAATGCTGGATTTCCGTGTTTGGGCCTCCGATGCAGTTGATCAGCGACCAGGAGCAAAGCATCATGTCCCACGAGGCTGGCCGCGAGCTGGAAAGGCTACAGATTGAGAGGATTCCGAAAGGCACGACCGCTGGCGAAGCAGGAAAGCAGCACACCGGAACTGGTTTGGTGGAACGGCACATTGGCCTCTTGGAACTCACCATGAAGAAAGTTGAGGCCGAGCTCGATCGTCAAGGAATATCGATTCTTCCTCACGAGCTCGCCAGAGAATGTGCCATGTCACACAACATGAGTTTGAACTATGGAGGAGCGACACCTTCGATGGCAGTTTTCGGCGTCCTCCCAAGACCGTTCTATCAAGAAGACCATCAAGGAGTCATGGCTTTGTCTGGAGCACTTCAGACAGACATCACGCCGTTTGAGAGAGCGCTACGCATTCGCCAGACAGCTCTCTCGATGGTTCAGATGGCAGTGGCGGAAGATCGAGTGGCCAGAGCAAATCGATCCAGGCCACATCAGCTGAAGCTGGACGAGCTTGTTCCCGGCACAACAATGGTGGACTACTACCGGGAAGTTCATGGTGACGTCGGCTGGAGAGGACCAGCCGAGCTTTTGAAGGTGAACCGATCTGAAGGCAATGCTGTGCTGTCGTACCAGGGCAGACCTTATCTGGTATCACTACGGCACATTCGTCCTCACCAGGCCGGTGTCTTCGTTACCATGTCGGGCATCCAGGAGCAGAGCTTTGCATACCTGCGGAAGTTGGTGGAGCAGCTGTCACCATACAAGACAGTGATTGTCGGTCGCGGAGAAGAAAGAGGAGCTGATCTCGTGGCGCAAGGCCTCTACCACCTCCCTTTCTTTCCAAGAGACCTGGTCCCACATAGTCTCGGTTGCCAAGGCGTTGTCAACTCGCGCAGCTGGAGGAGCAATGCTGGGACAAGGAGTGCGGACTCTACATCCTCCAACCTCCTCCATAGGAGTTCTTCTTTTCTGGAAGCAAGGAGAGGCGAAGCTTTGTTGCCACGAACACAACAACGACCAGCCGATCACGATGAAGAAGGTCACGACGATGCCCATCGACGCGATGTCGTTTGTGTACGTGTTCTACTATGCTTTTCCCTCTTT